GCAGAGGATATTTGAGACGCTTGGTCGCATGGGAGAATTTCGCGAGGAGCAAGGGAAGAGTGACCAGCCGCAACTCTAGACACCCACCCTCGACTATGGTGAAGCTTTTGGATGGGCTAAAAAAGTTGTGCACGTGATCAAGCCAGTCGATGTAATACGATATGAAGACACTAGTGGTCAGGTGCAAATCCTCCAACATCTAACGACGACAATACTACTATACCGCTAAGCAAGATGTAAGTCAGCGAGTGTTGGTCAAGTGCGACAGGCCTTCTGTCCAACGGTTCTCTTCCATTATATACCTGAGTGCGATGGTTCACTTAAAAGTATGGGGTCTGGATTCAAGGATCCGAGGAAGTCACGTTAGGATTGACAAAGTTCGTTTTCTAATTAAAATACCTATATCAGCTACAGATTCATAACCTATTAAATGGGACGCAGTACTTAACAAGAGTAAATTCGGGCTATCCTGTTTCGCATTTGTGCGGATTCCGCTGCACTGCGCTGTGCGAGCTCGAGGTACGTTCGCATTACGGCAGCAGTTGCTAATCCGGAGAGGATTCTCTATTTCCATACTGCCAAACCGAGAGTGAAAAGTTTTGAAAATACCCCGAAAGGAAGACGAATTCGAAACATTACCGATAAGCGCTTGATTGGTCCGTTGATCAACAAATTAATAAAACTAACGAATCACAAATTAATAAACCAAGTAATTGGCCCAAAACCACAGTTTGGTTGAGCGCTCACCTACCGAATTGCGTTCCCCAATCACCCAAATAGTTGATAGCCACGACCCGATGATGCATTGCCTCGTTCACATTACGAATAAAATTGCCCGTCACCGTTGCACGAAAGTGTCCCAAATGAAACGGTTTAGCAATGTTGGGTGAACTGTTTTCGGCGAACGAAGCCAAGTGGAGAAACAGATTGCAGCAGAGAGGAAGGGCCGTGTGAAATCACGTGTTAACGGTGAGACTAACCTGAAGTCGACAAGCACTGTCTGTGGACATCCAGATCGAATCAAAGAAAGAGGAGACGCGTACACAGGATACTGGAGGGATTTGAGCAAAATACTCTACACCAGCCGGATATATAGTCATCAATTGAGAGACTCACTTTCATGTTGCCCAAACGGTATTGCTAGCAAATTTCAGCGAAAAACAGCTCCGATCTATCAAAAGGAATGGAGATCATTGCGTTACCGATGCATCCGACAGGATCCGAACTGAAGAAAAATCAGGAGAGGAGATTATATGAATTACCTGGGACATTATAAATATCACTTCCAATGATCAAAAAGATCAGACGGATGACGGACAAAAGAGGATATAAGAACGAACCATCTGGTCCACACATTCAAACAACAAGGTTGCGACTGTAGTGATGAGATGGTCGTATTAGCCAGTGGCAACTTACTCCATCCCTCCACTGAAAGATGGACGAAAAGACACTAGTCTAGAAGAAGGCGCTATCTATTCCTCGACTATTGTGGTAAAATGAAGGAACCCACAACTGAATTCATTGAACGTTCTACACATCTGTTACTAATATGGCTAGCATCCATCAAAAATGTAATACCTTGCCAAAACATTACTTAAGCCACATTACTATCACCGAACGAGCTGTTTAACCACAACCACACTTCGCGTTCAACTTTAACAAAACAATAATGGTTACCGAAATACTGGGATAGTTCAAGTTGTGCGTTGAGTAAAGACATGTAAGTGGTTAGGCTACGGTCCCTTCAAGTGGGTGGGACACATCCTCGATGTCCTACACACATTTCGTTCCCGGAACACAGAGTGTAGACGAACATACGTTTTCGGTGATTTCCTCCTCAAGCCATTACAATCAAATCCAACACATAGTTGTCAAACTGGCGCGGCGGAATCAGTAGCTTGAGAAATCACACGGTTTTACCTAACGCATCAAATGAATATATATATATATATATTTACTTCCTGGGTACAATCATTTGAATGAAATGAAAAAAATTACCGGATACGTATGCGTGACGAACGGCAAGAACCGCGAAACCAGTGGTGCGCTTTCAAGGAAATTTTGTCTGGTCAATAATATACTACTTCTAATGAAACATATATATATATATATCCGATATCCAATGGTTCGGATGCTTCAGCTGTATGAGGGCGGGGTGACTGTAACGGAAACTAAGCCCGGGACGGGGAAAAACCTTTTGATGGAGTTTCAATTTAGACGAAGAGAACTGGTTCAACGGAACACAGAGCCCAAAAACAAATAAAACAGCAGGCTATCAGCGACTTCAGAGGAAAATAGTCGAATGTTCCTGGATAGATCCACATGGTTTGTTTCATTCTGGTGGAAAAACGATCCAGGAACTTCTGATTATC